GTGATCCGGGCTATCTGATGATCGGCGACCCCGTCCGCACCTGTCTCCCAGAGGGCCAGTGGACGGGGTCGGCCCCTCACTGCTGTGAGTCATGCTGCTGGTGGGATTGTGACACGAAGTCAGGGGCCCACGCTGTGGACACGCGACAGGTTGACTGTCTGGACCGGGGTTTGGGTGCTGGCAGTCAGCTCGTTCAATATTATTCGAGTTTATATGAACTCAAGAACATTTTCAGAATTATCCGTTCGTCACTATTGTAAGAAGTTTGCGTGTCTAATACCGGAGTTGTACGAATAGCTGCCATCGCTGTGAGGCCATTAAACGGCATCCAATACCTGAAACATTCAACGCCATTGTGTCCAGGGATAAAAAAATGCTCCAGGCATTAGTCCAAGACTCAGGATGGCATGGTCCGGCGCAAGCCCCCAGTTTCCGCTGTACCCAATTTCACTTAATGCCATTGACCGTCCAGCGTCAGTGAGGCACGTGACAGGCCCTCGCCATAAATAGTTCAAGCGCCCGAAAAGTTAGAGTGCTACGACGCTTGCCGTCCGCAGTGCTGACATGACACCACAAAACGCGTCATCACCACGACACAACCCCACCGTTTCGTCGTTTCGTCCGCCGCCGCCCTTTTACGCGCCCCGTGACAGCGACATCAGCGGGTTCTGTCGTTGACCTCTTAGATCTGAATGCGGCGGAGCACTCCAGCCTGGCGACCCAACACAGCAATCTGGCGGACGGCGACCTCAGCACGTCGGACGACCTGCTGGCGCTCTTCGAGGGCGGACGGTCTCTCTTCGTGGACCTCTTCTTTGTCTACCCGCTGCTCGAAATGAGGATCATCACGTTTTACAACCTCACAGGTAAAACAGGTTATCCTCTCGTGCTCTGAGAAAGTGCAGCGTGTGCTGTGCACGAGCTGAACCTGGACCGTGAGTCCACCTGTCTGTGTGACTGAACAAGATGTTTTAAGTCAATGCAGTATGGTGTTATGCTCGTAGTTCGTGTTCTTTCCGACTTGTTTGGTTCAGCGTTGCTGGTGTTTTGATTCAGGAGTATTTACATCGAGGCGTCTATAGGCATGCTTTGAAAACAGCGAGTACAAGTTGATTATCACCGCATGTTTAACATAAGTGACATGTTTCGTAGTATCCTCCATTTTCACGGAACTTTAAAATGCCAGAGTGCAAACAAAGGAAATGCTAACGAAGTTTCAACAACTTAAACGCCCAACATGTTGCTTGTGGTTGTCATACGGCCTTCACCCTGAAGCCATTAACTGTGCTGCTCTTGCGCGTGAGCACCATGCCGGACAAAAATGTTTTGCAATCGCGCTTGACCTGATAAGGAATCCAGGGATAGAGGCACCCACATTGTCGTGTGGTGCTTTAGGCTAATATGCTGGGCCTGTCGGGTATAGTTCTTTGGTTAAAGCCTGAGAATTCTGCCGCTTCTGAATCACGCCGTACATGTTCCCAATTATTTTGTCTGTGCACCTCGGTACTTTACGGCATTACACTTAACCTTCACTAATGATTATAGCTTAGTTTTTATAAATAATTATGTTTCGAGTGGTTTCAACGGAGAGTGCCTCACAGGCAAAGCTTGATGTGCGCATCGTAAACCCACCCCGGGCTTGTTCCGCCCAGTGCCATGGATAGTTAACTTGTTTTAATCGAGAAAGGCCTTGAGATACTGTATTTTCATTATTGTTGTTTTGTCGTCCTGTATTGATGTACACACACACGCACGCACGCACGCACGCACCCACGCACACAGGCACACAGGCACACAGGCACACACACACACACACACACACACACACACACACACACACACACACACACACACACACACACACACACACACATATATATATATATATATATATATATATATATATATATATATATATATATATATATATACGTATATGCAACAAAACGATAGTATTTCTCTGCGGTGAAGTTACGTTTGGCACAACAGACCGTGGCATTAACTTTGGTGTCACTTTCTGAAATAATTGCCGAAATCATTGCGCCGTGTAGTGGGCACCGGGCTGTTGCTAGATTGAGAAGCAACGACACATAAAGAACGAAAAATCCTACGTGGATCTCATGTTGCATAGTATAGTCACCAATTTTTCTGCGCCAGGAGAAAAAGTATAGTTATGCCAATCCACCATTACAGAACTCTACTAAAACCCGTCTTAACTCTTTATTGTCTAGGCACATTAATCCAGTCCAAGAAGGCCCGATGTTTCAACACCTGTGAGCAATCTGCCAGCATTTATACCGCTCCAGGGACTGGCTGTCTCCAGACCAACAAAGCTATGTCTTAAATTGATATATTACTGAGATCTTCGTAGGCATCGGGCTTTCTTCAGTACGAAATCGTTGTTTGAGTCATGGACCCTTTGGTTGTTTTGTCTAAAGAGCCACTTCTCATTATCTGGGCCACCTGCCTACGCTGGGACCGTCAGGGCACGTGCTAAGATGTCATGTGAGATGCCCGTAAATACACCGAAGAAATATTTATTGACAAGCCTTTCAAGTCCTTTCCAACCACTGCTCCCAACGCAGCGGGTTAAAAGTTGGCAAGTTCGTAAGCACGTCACCGTTATCTGGTTTTCTGAATGTCCCTCCCCTCCTCAGCAGATTTCGGAGAACTTTGGCCGTGTTCGGCCTTTCTGACCACTACGGGTTGGGTGAACCACATAGGTCACCTGCTGACGTAGAGCGCGTACCTGCTATGAGGACCATTTCACGAATTATAGTGTCAATGACTGCTCCGTGGTACACTGTTTCCAACAAGCACCCCTCTGACCGACGTAGACTGACCTCTAGAAGCTAAGTGTCCGCCTATCCTAAACACGGATAGGCCGACAAAAACGGATGACGGATAGCCATGCGACACCATAAACCCTCAGCTGTTGAGTGCACTGTAAAACCAAACGACAATAATTGCATCGAGCTATCAGCATTCACAGTTTTCGTACATGTCTACTTAAGTCAAGCCATTACGCCGGGGGGCAAAATGCAGGATGAAAAATATTTCTGGCATTGGTTATTGGGTGGGCTCGCAGCGATACTTTTGGAGTGCAAATGGTCTACTCGGTCGTTATTACAGAACCTTCTTTATTACACAGCCTTGGCTCGCACTGTGGAAAGGCACAATAAGAACATTTTATTTGGCTTATTATGTGCGTTGGTAGGCCCAGTACCTCTTGCAGTTGTATAGTATCTTAGATAGTAGTGTGGTATAGGTGGGAGGCGCCTGTATGTATGTCCATTATGTGCGCTGTATGTATGATCCTTAGGCTAACGTTCACTTAAATCCCCTATCATGTAAGTGTACCAGACGGAATGCGCATTTCCTCCGGCTGAAAATTGATATTTTACGGGTCCTATCTGTTTTCACACTCCACAAAATTATGACAAAGCAATTTTTTCAGGAATGAACATTCAGATCAGACTCAGCGACGATAACATCTCTTGGATAGGCATATCCATGTCAGTCGGTGAGTATCTACGTGACGCGTCTGTTTGGTGGAATTTATGTTTCTTTTCTTATATGATTTTCAAAAATATCCAGCAGGTCGTGTCAGCTTGTAAGGTTGGCTCTCAAGCCGTGATCGCACCTTGAACTCAATCACATCTCGGCCTTGATAATATACTTTGAGCCACGGTTCAGGGCTCAAATGCGTTTTCATCGTGCCAGCCAGACCCGCTGTATCGGTCACTGATGGACCTATGGCGTTAGTAACGTCTGACGGGGCAGTGGCATTCCCGGCGGCCCGACCCGGCAGCGGCTCAGTTTCCTGCCATGTTAGCACAGACCGTCCATCCACGTCGCCTGTATGGTCGCCGGCCGCGTCAGCGACGGACCCGTCCCGCCAGGGACAAGTCCGCCCCCTCAGTGGCGAGCCCGCCCCGTCGGCGACGGACGTACCCGTCTCCGACCTTCCCATCCGGTCGGTGGCAAAGCCGCGCGCCACTAACGCCGCCTGGCGGCCGGCAGAGGCGCCGCAGCAGTCCGAGCGGCGGCAGCAGGGCCTGGCCGTGCACACCATCTCGCTGCAGAACACTGTGCTGCAGGGCGGCGCCCGCTTCGTCAAGGTGTCGCTGTTCCACTCGAGCGGCACTTACTTCAGGCGGGCCTCCTACTCGCCCGTCTGGCCCCTGCACGAGCTGCAGATTGTCGCTGAGAGCACCGGTAGGCGACAACCTCTTGAACGAGGAAACGCACCCCTGCCCATCCATACCGACCCATCCCTACCGACCAAATGTGGCAGCGGCAAACCTTTTGCATCAGGAAATGTGGTGTGTGCGTTATATTGGTCTCCATTCTTTGCATTTGCGATAGTTGCAGGCATGAACAGAGATGATCAGATAAAAGGAGATTGCTGACAAGCCTTGCAATGGGCATGGCATGGAAGGAAGCTACTGAAACTGTTTGGATGACCTCCCCCCCTCACAATATTTCCTCAGTAGATGGTACGATTCCTTGGTATCTGGTTGGGGTGGAAGGTACGGTACGTTCGTTGTTCACGAAAAGGGTCAGTTTTCTGGTATGACATAACTGTTCCCAGAAATTGACACAAAATAGGCTTCTGTCTCAATATATACCAAACACGCATTGCTCACTGCAAAAGTGCAAAACAGCTTGGTTTATCAATTTTTGTCTGTCATATGTCGCTGCTGACAATTAGCCGGTGCCTGCAGTCATTTTAATCTCCGTAAAATATACGCACACTGTTGTAAAAAAGCGAGGAAGTCGCTAAAACATATTCGAAGGTATTACAACTCATTTCTGATGTCCACAGGTTTGTCGAAGCACCAGTGTCTGGATGATGTCGGTCGGCCGAACATAGCCGAGACGTGGGCTGCCGACGGCCGGTGCTACCACCTGGTGAGCAGCCGGCTAACTCAGCAGCTGGCAGAAGACGAGTGCCACCGGCTCGGCTCCGAGGGAACGCTTATGCGCGACAGCTCGGCCGGACTTCACGACATGGTCATCGACATACTCAGGTCAGGGCCGGCGCTTCAAGGTCGTCTGCAACAGCGTCGCGCCCGAAAGCTGCTTCTCGAACCCGAAGGCCGTTGTTGCTAATACGGCGTGCTCAAGGAAGCTTAGAACGTGGCTTATCCGGCGCCTTTCATCTGTTACCGAGAACTTTTCATGAAAATCAGACTCAATCTTAATACCTACTTATCATTTCAGGCATCGACGAAAGTCAAAGCTGACAAGAGTCTCTGACATTTGGACAGCCGGAAAAGCAGACGACATGCATGATTCAGGTGGAGACATACAACCTTGTGCATGCAGTGGGAGAATCTCCCGGTCATACCGTCTCATGTGATTAAACAATGACCCCTGTACCGCAAACTACTGTACTTGTAACAACTTATTTGCAATATCAGCAAAGAACAGGTAATGTACGGACACAATGCCAGCCGGCCATTAGCAGGGTCATATCGCAGACGAATAAGGCGCATGGACCCCCCGACATAGACTATGTTCCTCCCATGCTGTTCGTACAGTTTACACTTGATCTCGTAAGTCACGTTTTCCTACATGCAAAGCCCTTGAAAACCCGACTTGTATAGATGACACCTATTGCCCCCCGGAGGCTTAAGCTTCGAACTGGTTTTGCCCGAAAAACCCCACTAGTTACGCTCTTCAGTATCTTGCTTTGTTTAGCCTCTGCCCTGGGGCACTGCGTTCCTATTCAGTTTTTATTTTGTGCGACTGATCACACGTTCAATAAATCAATCATTCACAGGCAAGGGGGTTAACAGAGGGGAGCATTTTCTTCAGAGTTGTTACTTCATATGACAATATACCAAGCGATGAGGCTATTGCTGTCGTCAAAAGCTAAGATAGACGACCATTTCAATGAAGTTGATGCCTTTTCTCTGTCGAAGAAGGATCTCTGCGGTCTTTTAGAATAGTGTCTTCAGGATAAGGTTTTCTCGCTTCGGGATGACCACCAATGACAACAATAGAGCATATAAATGGGCAACCATGCGCCCCTTCCTCCGGTGATAATAATCTTTAGACTCATTTGAAAGGAAGGCCTCAGCCGCCAGCTCATTAAAATCAACCTTCTTACCTAGATGTATCGATGATTATGCTTGAGTATGGGCGCACAGACAGCGCGACCTTGAATTTTTTTAGAGCTTATTTACAGCCAGCATTCCAATTTTGCCTTCACTGTCGGGCATGCAGGGACGAAAGGGGATGCCATACTTGGCCGCAATAGTGACGATATAAGGGGGAGGGGGATAACCGCACAACGCTAGGCAAGGAGCCCTTTATCAAGCCCGCGAACTTTGATATTTGCCAATCCTCGGTGAAATATGCACCGTATTGCAGACGTGGCTGGCAAGTGCACTTTATTTCATTTCCTGAATGTTGGCGACGTGTAAAACCTGTGGCTTTTTTATAAAAAGATCTTGAAAGCTCAGATAGTAACGGCAGACAATTTTTAATCTACTGTTTATGACCGTTATGACAAAGACATGTAGCTGAAAAATTAATGCATTCGTCTCTCCTTTTTCCTGGTATTGCGACGATGAATAAGGCTGAAATACTGTTTTATGTATCTGTTATGTTCCTCACAGAGGTATTTTGACCGAATGATCAGCGGAATGAATTTGTGAATCCCAAAGCCATGGCTTGGATCCTTGGTTTGCTTTTATTTTTCATCATCCGCCTCCTCACGATTGGTTCGCCATCCCTTGAGGATAGCCAATCGTTCGGTGTCCAACCGGGGATAGCTGGAGATTAACATTGAGCAGGCCAGTTGAATTCAGTTCGTAATTGCATGATGCCCGCCACAAAGAGAGAAGCATTGCAGACTAATGACGAAATCGGGTCACTCGGGGTCGAAACTCGGAACTGACTCGGTGCTAGTGCCCAGTAAGTGCTGACATAACCACCGGCCTCTGACCCCGCCGTTCCTGCACAGGAGCGGAATCGGTCACGTACGGGGCGGGGAGGCCAGGCGGCTGCCTCGCGCTGCGGCGCCGCCACGGCTGGGGTGTCGCCCCTGCGCCCTGCAGCGCCCGCTACAGGTTCATCTGTCAGAGAGGTACGGTCCGGGGCCGCGTTCGGCGCCGCGCCAGGTACGGTCCGGCCGCGTTCGGCGCCGCGGCCAGCCTCGCTTACAGCTGATCACCATCGTCAGCCGACATATAGATGTATTTAGATAATGCTCCGCTTGTGCGTGCATCTGACGTACCTTTACTGCGCGCTAGCTCTGAACTGGCGTTGGTTGAAGTATATTGTGCTTTCTGTTCCCGTCAGTAACTGGTGAATGCAAATCATATGTAAATGTAAGTATGCAACAAAGCCGTGGTCATGACCAGCACCAATGCAATATACGGTGAGCGATTATAGCGGCTAAACGCCAAGCTGGTGAATTATTTATGAGTGGCGAAAAGGGGTTGAATCTGAAATCGTGTACTTTCAAATTCATTAGTTTGTTTATGAGCTATGCTGTAAGCGCTGCTCCTAAATATGAGCGCGAGATGTGTTCTGCCGCCTTAAACAGCAAGGTCGTGGTGGTTTACAGGCGTAGCCACTTCACTTTTCTATCACTCAGGGTAAAACGCCACCAGCATTAGTTCTGGCTGTGTCTGCGGCGGCCATGGCCGCGGGAAATCTAGCGTGCTGTAGCTACTATGCTACAGGGGGATAACATTTGAATATTTTCTTAGAATTTCAGGTTTGGCCACTTGATTCCCTTCGCGGCTTATTCTTAAGGTCATTCCCCGCATACGGACAATATGACATCAATACATATCAGAAATTCTCCAGGGCCCTACACCACCCAGCTTTAGGACATGATGCTGCCATGCGAGCACAATGACATGGCTTGCGTTTCGTACGCTAGGCTCATGTCTAAACTAATGACTGTCCACAGCGGTGCGCGTTTGCGGCAGTCCGGCCCAGCAGGCAGGGCTCTCTTACGCCCAGGCCCAGCCGAGAGTGGAGGGCGAAGTCATTAACGTGACCTGCGACGACCCGGCGCGGACCTCTGGCCACATCCGGTGCAGTGCCCACAAGTGGACTCGGCCGCATTTCTGCGACGTCCAGCTGGAAACAACGCCTGTGACGAGTACGTGTCTCACTTGTCTAGTACAGATGTACCAAGAAACTGCGCATCAGATCAGTATGGCGCTGGTCCGCTACAGATGTACCAAGGAGGCGCGCATCAAATTATTATGTGCAGTGTGCCATCCGTGTGGAGAGTTACAATCGCAATCGATCCTTTTGAACCACTGTCCAGGTGTTTCGTGTCCCTGTATCAGCAGTGTGTTAAAGCGGGCTACGAATGAGTTGCGTGACGTCGTTTGCGAGATTGGTGGGTGTCAACTGATGGATAAGAAAAGATCAAATTTAAACGAAAGCCATCTAGGGTCCAGGAATGTGGCCACGGGGGAGGGCAATAAGTTCATACCCCCTCCCCAAGTCATGAATCTTTCTCTAGTTTATGGGTGGTCTGCAGAAACTCGGTCCAAGCTCACACGGGCTCGGAGAAACCTTGACAGTTATGATTATGTGGCTGCTAGGGTTTAAAGTCGGCATACCAATGATTATTAGACTATCCCTTCATCAAAGGTAGGTGCTCGTCACGTTCCAAAACATGACAGGGGCTGTTACAATTTCCATTGACAAATAACGGGGCTCAATGAAAACTTCCCAAGCTGATCATCTCTTCTTTTGAGTTTCCGTAGTGCTCACGTTGAAGCCATGCCAAAACATTTTGAACGCAGTTCAAGTTCCGTGGCGGACTTCAACTGGTTTTCGGTTGCAACCGACGTCCAAAGGATTTCGGCTTTTCATATTTTTCTAGCCGTCTATTGAGTGCAAACAGCTACCTGACTCGACCTCCATGATGAAAGCAAAGGCAATCTTCCTGTTTCAGATTTCTTAGCACAGCGTTCGCGATGGGAGAATGCAGCTGACTTATAAAAAGTTGGCGTGCATTATCCATGATCACAATTTTCTCTCGTTTGAAACGGGAGTCTATGGACAATGTTTCTTTCCGTCGGAAGCGTGCATGTTGTAGGCATCGTTGAAGTCTCCAAGCACTTTGAGAAAAAAAAAACAGTAACGAAAAAAGTACGTCGCAAACAACCTTAAGTCGGGCACCGAAGGTCAAATTACTGCAAGCAACAGGCTTTCAATTACTCAAGGTGCTTATTTAAAATAGAACTTAAAGCAAAAAACGTTTTTCAGTGACATGATATTTCATTGTGTTCTATATCCGGCTGACTTTACAGTGACGCAATACATAGGCCTCAGGCAATACAAGAGTACACATACTTTAAAAAATGCACAAATGAAAATGCAAGATAGACTTGGTTTTACCCCATTTTTTCTTGTTTTCCTAGCGTGTCGATCCTGCTCTCTGTCCGCCAGCTGTGCGACTTATCAAATGATCATCTCTTTGTGCATAATGACGCAGGTTAATGTTTGGAACTTGCTGGAGTTGTACAGATGCTATTTGGAACATACAGATTGCTGGTTCTAGGTCGATCAGATTAGGGAGTTTCTTGCGAAGGATCAATTACTTTGAGCGACTTCTGGCTGCAATTGGGTTCAATTACATTGTCACACAAAATGGCATGCCATCTTTCCGAACAGGCTTGCACTTAACAAGGCTATCGTTTCATCCTGGCAAATCTCACCGAACTGTTCACTAAATGAGTATTACGAAGAATGAATCTAATAAGCAATACAAAAAACAATAAGTACGTTTTTTCGCATATTCAAAGCATTTATTTTTCGCTAATCCCTACCACGCAAGTTGCACGACATGCTTGACACCAACCAGCATTTTGTGTTGTTCACAGTGCTGGAGAGTCTTCCTGACAGCCCAATGCCGAAAAACAAACGTAAGTACATTGGGAAATCAGAGTCAATTTCATTGAGTTGCTTTCAAGCAAAAGTTGCCCTCAGAGCAGATAAGTATTGTCAAACGGCGCTGCGAGGACATCATAGAATAAGACGTGCTAGAGCGGCAGCCTGTACTATTCATGTTGACAGTATCTGGAATCCAAGCGAGGATGAGGACTGATTCTTCAGAAATTCCCCAGGGCAAAATGTATGACCAGCCGACTCAGACAAGTGACGAACGTCACGTGGGACAGGCCTGTTCTCAGAGTATGATGATGCTGCCTGCCTCAACGGTTATGTGATGCTGATGATTGTGTGATGTTTGCCGGAACCTCCTGCTAAATTGAAAATGATTTTTTTCAGATTAAAAATGATATGATCAAAAACACAGAAGCTCGCGTTCCTTTTCTGCTCATGTTAAATTGACAATTTTCGCAGTAGCAGTTCACCATTTGTCAAAATGCTTTCTGCCCACTTCCCAATCAATCGTTTCATACATCATATCATTTCCGCACTTCCAAATGCACATTTTCTACGAGGAGATGTATTTTAACGTGACTGAAACGAAAGCCTTGTCTGTCGAATACCCAGCCTTTTGCGGAATGCTCGTTCTCAGCAGCTGTTTCTGTTCGAAATCCATCGTGCAGGACACGATCCGTCCAACGTACGGACTGCATAATGCGGTCTTTTTGGCCGTGTACGGCGCATCATGCAAATGTTTATAGCAGTTACAAAAATGTGGTTCCATGCAACTCCATTGATCAAGACTCGCCAACTTATTGCCACAGCGTGCTTAGATGGATGCTTACAAAGGGGCTTCATACGCTTGAGCTCAAGTGTGCAAAAGGGGCTTCCGGTGATCGGGTGTGTCCACATTTTTGTAGAGTTGCGTGAAGGCAGGCGGTTAACTATAATAATTGTTTCAAGCGCCCAGATATGATCTGTCAGCGGCATAAACGCGCAAACATTATGATACTGTCAAAGCTATGTTTCTGATAATTGAGATGTTGATGAAGGAAAGATATTTCATTTCCGTAAGCTTTTTGGCCAGTTTTCTGGCCGATTCGCAAAGGTAGCTGATTTGTCATGGCAAAACATCTTCTAAATCAGCTTTCTGAAATCACACAAATGAACCACTCGACTAAGTGCCCACAATCTGGCCGCAGCGCTTGTGTAGATAAACAAAATTACCTTGTTCACTTACAGCATGAAATAAACCAGAACGTGGTCATTTATTTCAATATTTGCATTGCACAGTGGATAATTTTTGCATTGGTCGGATCGCCACCCAGCAAGCCACAATGACGTCTTCAGCGAACAGCCGGCCATGCGATTAACCAGGTGCTCGTTGAGATAAAATCGGAATGTGGAGAAGTACACGAATTATTTCCTTTGAGGTAAGCAGGGGAAGCTTACACATACGTAAGTGCAAATGCATCAATGCCACTATCAAAAGAGGCCCAGCATTACCATAACAGTCCTTGACCAGCGTTCACGTGTCTTGTAGCGGCAGTGCCTTTGTCGGCAGACTACCTGGGCGCCATCATTGGCGGCGTTGTGGGCGGCGCTGTCGTGCTGGCCGTGCTAGCCGTCTTGCTGGTCTGCAACGCCAGGAGGCGAGACGACAAGCTCGCCTCGGAGCCGTACAACTTCATGGAGTTCTGGGGACTCAACCACAACCCCATCTACAAGTCCGATGAGGAGGAGCATGTGTACAGGTCTGTACGCGCGTGCGGATCGAGTTACGGGATCAAGAGACGGCGATATACTGAAGGAGTGCGCGTTTAATAGATTGCATAGTTCATATTGGTGAGTTTTGCGCTGAAATAAACCTAGTAATGGCGCACGAACGATACGAATAGAAAGACATTTGACAAGAAGAAATCATAGTCATACGGACTGCTGTTGGAATATTACAGTTACACTATACAATGTCTGGTAAACGTGTGCCCATGCATTCGTTTGCGTAGTAATCATATCAAAATATCCGTTCTGCTAGGCTTTAAGTGGCGTGAATTTTGTAAGCTACACGTTGAAACAAACAGGCGATGAATCTATTCATATCCTTCATAGCACTGTATGTTGTATTCCTTGACAAGCCCTGTAAGTAAGACAAGCCCTGAGCTCCTGTATTTGCTCGGCGTTGCAAGTTTGAATATCGTATAATCGACCTTTAATACACCAGGAGGTACTGGTAACAGAACGTAATCAAGCAAGCATTGGTAACAATGTTATAAGAACGATACGTTTCATTAAAACCATGCAACCAATGTTTGCTTGATAATGGTGTTAAACTAATACCTCCTGGTAGGCATAATGCCTCTGAACTGAGAACAATACAATGATTGCATGACGTTCCTACCGGAGAACCTAGGTGCCAAGGGTACATTGGTCAAGTTTTAATCTTACGCCTGGCATAGGCCGGGTGCCGCGCCAGCTCTGTGATGACCTGACGTGGGAAGTACATACAGATAAGGGAACGATACCATGAAATCTAGGGCCAACCGAATTCGGACAAACCACTAGTATAGCACATTTCATAAAAAGTACGAGGCATGTGTCAACTTGAGACAGTGACCTAGACATTACGCAGAGATAAGTGCAACCCAAGCGTAAAACAGGGATGTTGTCGGGTCTACAAGTAAATTCCGCTTAATGCAGCAAGAGAACAGGCCGCTGAAAAAAAAAACAGTGAAGGCCAACTGCGATGCAAATTGGACGGCAGGTGGTGACGACGATGAATAATAAAGCTAGCCAGGTGGTGCAAAGGTGCAACCACGTGATAACGCATATCTAATACTTGTCATAGTTAGCAACGTTTTGGTCCGATATGGCCTCAAGCGGAATTTTTATTTTGTTGACCTGACATGGATGTTAATAAAAACTACGTTACGGTACTTTCGACGCTGATGTGTGATAAAGTCCTATATGTTTCAAAGTAGTGTGAACCATTCGAGGCCTATTCCAGAAACTACGGGAGTAGACATCTACCCGCCCCATAGTCAGTGCGGAGATTAACTTAGCAAAGCCTGTTCGCAAAACCGCATTGTTAATGCTACCACTTCTACGCCCGTGTCCTGTTTCTTCATTCTAGTGAGGTTGGCGGAGGGGAGGCTATCTACGAGGAGCCCAGCTTCTCAGCGAGCTACCGAAAGCCTCTGCCGGTGGAGCCGCCACCGCTGCCCGGCTCTCACCCGAGCGTCAGCACGATGGAGACCGACGTGACCGTCTCGCTGGCCCAGGACGAGTCCGACTATGAGGTCTTCTCAACTTTGGACGCGTCCAAGCCCATCGCCAAGGACTTGTCTGCCACGAATTCAACCGCGCGCGATAGTCGGGCGCCGTCCGTGTGCGGTGATGCGACGCACGACGAGGATGAGTATTCAGTGCCGCTCGTGGCTGGCCGGCTGCCAGCCGGCCACACGGAAAACTCCAGCCTCGAGAGGCTGCCGATAGATGTCGGGGTTGTCGCGGCGCCCCATAAGGGCGAGCCGACGCCGCTCGGGTCGGAGGCCAGGCGAGTGCCCGTACACGCTGCCGTACGACCCCAAAGCGGACGAGGTAGCGGACGACGCAGAGGCGCGCAGGAGCATCCCTGACGTGGCCGTGACGGCGATGATGCGGGAGGAGCTGGACACCGACTCCTGACCGTGCCGGAGCCCTTGTTACGCGCGGTCAACGGTGTTTTGAAGCCCATGACTGCGCCTCTTGAATGTGTACGGTGCGTGGCGTGCTGAATTCGTGCTCTCGAGCTTTGCGACCCGCGCGTCGTGATGAGTGTCCTAACAACTGAGGAATGCTCCGCTGCGAGGTTGCTAGTGATGCCGGTGTGCGCTCCATGCAGAGTGACTTGTGATCAGCGTTTGTGGTCTTTGGTTGGCTTCCTAGTTAGGTGTGACGCTCCTGCAACACCTGACGGGTGTGCTTCCAGCCAAGGCTCTAACTGTTCGCTGCACGGATGTGTTTCGCTTTTTGCTCATGAGCGCATACTGAGCTCAGCGCGTTGATGAAGGCGCCGCGCCATTTTGTTTTCACGGGTTGCATCTGGCTGGATGCTCCCTTAGAAATGACGTCAATGTATCGACGGAAACGAAGCAGGGAATGCGAAAGCCTTCACTGCAGTGAGCTGTGATAATATGTCGCAATGGAATATACTCCTCAGGTCGTGAAGGCCACCTAGAGTACATCCGTCAACAGTCATGAGCAAGTCGTTGTATGCGGTTAATATATGATGAGGTTTTCGAACACTGTCATGAACAATGTGTTGACAGGGGTGCTGATTTGTATTCTTTCATGTCGCTCCCCGGAATGGCAAGTTGGGACCGCTCCCCAATATTGGCTTGACTCCGATCATTTTTGGCTGGAATGTTACAAAATCGAGTAGAAAAGTTGATCATCCTTTGACTCTCCCGCATAGTGGCGTTGCCACCAATGGTACAGCGGGATAACTTAAACCCCACAACCTCAAAATTATGTCCTCAAATTAAGCGTACTTTTAGATAGCGGGGTTAAAAATGTTGTTTGACGGTCCAGTTTTGGCGTATCCGTCACACGTAGATTAGCCACTAAGATCCACTGATTTACCGGTCCCACGGTGATTCGTTTATGCCAAGCGACATTTTGTGTGCCACCGATGCTGGGCAACCAAGTTAATGCTGCCTTACTTGATACCCAGATATCTTTGTTGCAAGGTCTAATGCAACAACATAATCGCAGTCTATATTTTGAAGTGTGGCAGCGCTAGTTAAGATTGTAGGCCGAGTTCATGTACAAAATGAGAAACAGCGCAGAAAACGAAATTCATGGGACGGATTTTAATCGGATTCCGGGCGAAGTATCGCTTATTCCCAGCACACTGAACGTGCCATCCCATCACTGAACTGAAAATTCAGCCGATCCATTCTGTATTCGGTCCTTATCCAAACCTCAAAAGCACCGAAATGACTTTGAGAACGTCATGCCGCCACAGGACCCTCGGTCGCCCAGTAGCCAGTTTGACACTATCAAGGCAACGGCCAAATGACCCTCTTTGAAGAGACATATAGAAACACTTATTCTGGAAGGCGAACCGACCACCGCACATTTCGCCACATCGCGTATGTGGCCAGCATTCGTCCAGGATTCTGCCGAAGCTGGCCGTCGGCAACGGCGTAGTGTGCTTACATGGCAACATACCTTCTCTGTGCGAGTATTTTACGTGTTGTATACAACGGCCCCGTACAAAAGCAATGCCTGTGAACTGCCACTTCGCTTACTACCTTTGTCAAAGTATTTTACCTGTGGCCTGGAAAGCAGTCACGCATAATTAAACTCTGATAGATGGATGACCTGATGAATCAAAAGAGTGGCATCGTTTTTGACAACCCTTACACTTTTCACGGCAATATTACGGGGAAATTTAAGCTTCATTTGACATCCTAAGCCCTTCCTATGGTCAGTGTGTTTAAGTTTAATCGTTCTTGTTTCGCGGTTAACCTGCGCCCGGCCGGGGGTCTGAGACAACCGCACCTGGCAGGGGAGGTTGATTTTCCCTGGGATCTCCTACTTCCAGACGTCGTACGACAAAACGAGAGAAACGTTGTGAAGGTTTTGTCATATCATGAAGAATGCACACCAAATGGTTGGCTTTACGTCAAATCCGAGGGTGCCAGAAGTCAGTACAGGTCAAAAACGGTCGTTTTGATAAATGGAGTTGGAAGCACATGTTAACACATCAAGATGGATATCGAGCACACAGAAGTAAACGTTAAGACTACGGGGGAGCCCATTCAGACCATTTTTGTTTCCCTGCAAGTGTCGGGTCAGTTCAAGTCATTCCACCGTTCAAAGTTGTTGCACCAGTGGCCACCAAGAACGATATTTTTTGTTTTCTTTCACAACGTGCTTCTGACTGAATTTATTCTGTTAGATGAAGCTTCGGGACAAAATATCCCAGACACAAAATAGCATTTTAAGTTGACGTAGAGCACAGCTTAGGTCAACCAAGGTCGAACTAATAAGTCATCCAAATAAAAAACTGCTAACCGGGCTTAGGTGGCCAGTACTATGTTTTCAGTGGTCAGATTTAGCGTGTTGTACATCTACAGGTGTCCAAGATCGCATAACTGTTGACGGCATTATACATAGTCCCTTCGACGCTTGGTGATGTATTTGTCACAAACTGCGAACAGATACGCTGCTACATGAAATTAAACGTCATCGGTTTTACAAGCACGATAAGGAGGTCGTTACGCGCGCCGCACTCGTTTATCTCGCCTTTCCGCTACTGATAACATAGGTCATTGACCTGGGATGAGCTCATATGACCTTGCATGCCCTAACGTGACCTGTTGGGACCTCACTGTACATTAGAATGATATCACAACATTCTTTAGAGGAGTGTTCGAACTCTACGTCTAAGACGTCTAAGACGTTCTACGTCTAACGTCACAAAAGCGCCCTTTTGAGCTCACAATTGTTTTGCAGATGGCGCAAATGAGGTAGGTCATGACCCGAGTCAATGTCATGTGCTCCGTGTTCATATGAAGGCTAAAAAACGCCCGGTGGCGTTTTTAATTGTGTAAATATTTTTATATCTACCGTTCCCCAAGAACAGGTAACCAGGAGTAACAAGAACAGCGACAGGCCCCTCCCTCTATCTCAGCGACGCAATAAACCGTACGTTAATACTAGAAAACATAAAATCAAGTCGCGGCACTCCCAGCTAGGAAGAGGAAACAATCGTTAAGAAGCAGGCGAAGAGGTGGTGCAGACCCAAAGGAATTGCGTTATGTAATAGGCAAGGAAAAATCATACATGAGAAGGCTTTAAGTAGTCTTTGGCCAAAGTCAGCTAATGACAGCCCGTTACAACCACCCAATAAGCTACAACCACTCATTCGCAGTGTTAGTAAGGGATGTACAGTTACACAAGTCGGAGGGGTAGTTACCTGGTCATTTTCGTGCTGGGTTTTGACCTGAATGTCCAGAGAGTCCACCCAAGTAAGCGGAGCTTGTTGCTGGGAGAGCTCCCGGAGCCAGCGCCGTGAATTTGGGTACATGTGCATGACTTTAACTATATCAGAACGTGATTATGGAGCATGAAGGAGGTTAAATATGAAGTGCGTTACATATGTGCTGCACAAAGGGCTGCAATACATTCAAATAAGTTGGTTACGCTAATATGTATTGATGAAATGCTTGCGGATCATGTTCTTAACGATGGTTTTTGATGCAGAGATGTCATTTATTATTGGAAAATATGAAACCATAATGTCGTTCAACAGCTTAGGGTCAAGGCAAGACGTTGTAGATAGTCTATAATTGTCATTAAAGAAAGGTTGGTCTAAATGTTTTACTCGCCTCATATCCATGTGATTTGATTCGTAGAGCCTGTATATTAAATCGAATGATACAGGGAGCTGTGAAGTTACAAAGTTGTGCATCACACTTGACATTTTTATGGTGCGTCCTTTGATGCAGAGGCTTCCTTCTAATTCCCACGTACCTCGTAATCTTTTATCAGTGTTCACATAGTTCTTTGCTGCAGTTAAATTGACAGCACTTTACGAGTGCTTTGGGAATTCCGTTGCGCTTGGCACCATAAGTATCTCAAACGGAATGTTTGGGTTGCCGAGATGAGCAGTATGAGCCTGGGTGCGGAGGCTAGGCGGAAGGTTTTGTTGTAGTAACATAGCGCAAAGTTACTCTGACCTCACGTTTTCCAATTTTCTCATTTATACGCATGCCGTCAGGGCAAGGAATAAATGAGTCGCTGATGAAAGACATGTCTTGATTCGGGGGGGGGGGGGGGGGCTTTGCATCGCTGCTTTGTATCGAAGCTAGTGTGCTTCGAGAGCCCTATCGGCTTTGACAACATCATCGTGGCGCTGTGTCTGTCCTCGCAGTTGGACCTAGGCGGCAAACATTTTATGTTACGTAATATGTGTTTTTATGGTTAGCATAGTCAAACAAATCTAGGTATCATGCTGTTCAATTGTTGAACATGCTGAAGTAGTGCACGTATAGGTCATAAATAGATGCACTTATTTCTAAAGCAGCAGTGTCTTTGACACACCTATTTTTCTAGTCAGATTGTGGCCGTTAAAGGATAAGGTCACAGCAGGACATACACTCACAAAATGCACCAATACACATAAATACGGGGCATGCGTGTACGTTATCCGGCAACGTGGACAGCTGGAGCCATAACTCACTGCGGTAGCACTGCTGATAGCTTGAATGAAATAAATTCCCGGAATTTTCCTCCGATCAACCAGTTAAACACTTCATCCTGCGGGATACCTGATCACGCTTTGTGCGGGCAGGATTCACCATGCTTTTAAAGTTTGTTTTTAGTCAGGATATGGCTGTGAGCTTTACAAGCTTGTCTACTGAACATTTTACATGAAGGAGGCATCAATCTGCAGGATAGTTTTCACCGGTGTATTGGCTTATCGTTACGTTCCATGAGCGGACATGACTACTAGTGGCGCCGCGGCCGACCCTGGTGGCAGGATATTGAACTAGTGTGTTTACCGCAGTGTTGCTGTCTCAGAAGTAAAATTTTGTGTTTGCGCGTACGCCGTGTGCCATGGAGTCATAAATCATCATTTGCTAGTCCATATTTTGGTGCAGAATTTAATTCTTTACATGACGGTATTAAAATAGTTGTTAAGCTTTGAGCATGTCGTCGCCAAAGTAATTAAATCAGAGCAATGTCAAGGGGGTTGCCACGCGTAACTCAATTGCCGCGCGAAGCGCCCGCGCGGAACATTCAAATAACGCAGCACCAGGTCGTTAAAATATCATATCATTTCATTGCTAGGGCGGATAATGATAGACAATTTAATTCCCCGTTTGATGGTGTTACACATCTCCTGGTGTGATTTAGTGTGTCGTCGCGAATTTCAGTTAAACTAATGGATATCACGGATGTCACCTGCGCGCAGGACGTCCGTGATGTGGCGTGCGCGTATTCTGTCCTTGTCAGTGACAGGACAGTCGTGCGCAGGTCGACGCTTGTCTACAAGTTTTAACATTCATGCATAAATGCAGAAATGTATATGCGTGAATGGTTTTATGCATAAACATGAAAACGGTCAGGTGCAAATGTGTTTGCGCATAAACGTATGCATTAATGTGAGCTGCTTTACTACAAGGATAACGGGGCCCTGGTATCAGCAGCTGATTCAGCAGAACCAGAGAATGTGAAAATTAAAGTATGTTCGGCATAGTCACTGCACTTTGCTGC